GCTTATCAGCTAGGTTCCCTTTTCTCAGGAGCATGAGAAGTCCTTGGGATCCTGTTGGTGAGGGGGCAGGGCTATCTGAACCTTAACACTGCAGTGCCCATGGACGACAGAAGAGGCTGTCAGAACTCCTGGAACTGGAGTTATGGACAGTTGTTAGCTGCCATGTGGGTGCTGGGATTCAAACCCAGGTCTTCTGCAAGAACAGCCAGGGTTCTTAACTGTTGAGCCATCTCTCCAGCACCCCCCCCCCTTTTTTTTCCTGTTGTTTTGAGACAGGGTCTCTCTGGAACTCACTATATAGACCAGGCTGGCCTTGAACTTGTAAAGATCCACCTGCCCCTGCCTCCCAAGTCCTGGGATCAAAGGCATGTGCCATCACACCCAGCTGCTATTTTTCTTAATAAATAGTAAAACTGCCACAGTGAAATTTTCCTTTTTTCTCCCTAACTGATTTCGTATTCGTACCAGCAAATATAGAAGTAAATTGGGGAGCATAGAATAAGGCGCTTCTGTTGATAGAAATTGAACTGTGACGGCTGTCTTAGTTTCATTCTTTTACTGTGATAAAACACACTGATGGAAAGCAACTTGAGGAGAAAATGGTTCATTTGGCTTATACTTCCAGGTCACAGTCTATCACTGAGGGAAGTCAGGGAAGGACCTGAAGTAGAAACCATGGAAAAACACTGTTTACTGTTCTGGTCACTGGCTCATGCTTAGCTAGCTTTTTTATACAGCCTAAATCATCTGCCCTTAGGAATGTTGTAGCCCACAGCAGACTGGACTCTCCCATATAAGTCAACAACCAAAGCAATCTCTGGTAAACATGCCCCAGGTCAGTCTGATCTGGGAAATCCTTCAATTGAGACTCCCTCAGATGACTCTAAGTTGTGTCAAATCACAGCTGAGGCTAGCTAGTACAACTGGTCTAATAACTAGACTGGTCTAATAACTAGTTAATGATGATTTAAAGCTACATGCTTCAAAGATTTCATTTTCCCTTTTCCCTCAGCTGGTCACTACCTGGGTAGCCTTTGTAGTGCTCTGCATCAGAGGAGACATGTCATCTACTTGTTCCACCTGGACTATGTTTCCCAGTAGTCTCAGCTGGTTTAGGGCCATGAGAATCTTGTGCCAATTCTTGCTTCTGTGTATGTTGATTTTCGTGGCTTGATGCAGTCTGTGAGATGAGTGTGCTGGGTTCTCCTGACCTCCCAATCCAACTACCTGATCTTAGAACACTTACTGAGGGCCTCAGTACATTCAAACACTGCTGTCTGCTCTCACAGACCTGGGGACTTTTGGCAGTGTGGTACCATAAGAGAGGTACTAAGACATAGCCAAACAGTCCTCAGGCCCTTCCGCATTGTGTCCCACCCAACTGTTTGGCTCTGAGGCCATTCTGAATGTCAGGCAACTCCAAGATTTTTACAGTGTGATGGATCTACGAATCAGGGCAGTGCTGTGTGAGTTTTACACATTGGTGGGACAAAATACCCTGACAAAAGTAACTTAAGGAAGCCAGGGTTTCTTTGGTCTCACAGTTTGAGGACACAACCCATCATGTAGACATGGCATAGCAGCAGGAGTTTGAGGAGAAGGTTGGCAGTCAGGAAACAGAGAGAGATGAATGCTGGTATGCAACTTGCTTCCTCTTTTTTGTAAAGTCAATCCGTGGGGCAATGCCACCCAGAGTTAAGGTGGGTTTTTCCATCAATCAGCTTAATTTAGAAACTGTCCCAAAGACATGCCAAAGACTCCTTTCTTTTGTTATTCTACATTGTATCAAGTTGACAGTATTGACCATCATAGTGCTTTCCTGTTTTCCGAGATCTTCTTCAGTGACTCAGAGGGGACCCAAGAGGGCAGGCTACTCACAACTTCCTAGTTTAACCTATCACCACCAGATCCACAACTCAACATGCAGATTATTCCTCCACCAAGAAACATTAAATTACAGTTTTGTTACAACAGTAATTTACATATTATCTGTCTTCTAAAATAGTTCTACCTGGACTCCTTTGAACACCAGATCTTGAAAGACAATGCTCTCCTTTTCTCTATCAGCCTTTAAAAGCAGTGATTTTTGCCATTATTTTCCTATGTGTGAAGCAGAGCATTAAGATATTTATATTAGAAATTGAAGGTGGTTAACATAAAAATGAAGAGAATAAACTCATTAAGCATTTAAAATTATAAAATAATGTCCTATTAACATTATCAATGTAATTTATGCAAAAGCTGAAAATTAAAAATGGATCTTTTAAAACTTCAAATGACTCACATTAAAAGTATTTGCATATTGTAATAAATCAACAATGCCTTTCTAAGTTATCAAAATTTTTCATTGATAAAACCCTTTTTTAAATGTTTTCTAGAATATTTTCAGAGACTTAAAAAACTATTTGTACAGCAGAGTACAACTCTAGACTTGACTTAAATGCTCAACAAAAGAAAACTAAAGCTCCTATTGATTTTTTAGTTAAAATATGTCTATTTCAAGGCAAATGGAACATATTGGTTCAATAAAATAAAATTGTGAACTTAGGACTCCATATTATGATTCAGTTCACCAGTAAATTAAATATGTTTCTTACATTCTATGGTATTTATTTTTGCAAAACCAGTGTATAAAACTAAGCTGAGTCATCTCTCCAGCCCCTAAATAATTTTTAATATAGAGGTCAGAATCACTGATTAAGTACTTGGAAAATAAAAGGTGTTTGTTTTGTTTCTAGAAGGTTCTATGTCATTATTGTTTAATATTCTATAAAATGATTTTGACCAAGTCTTAGGAAATTTTGATCTGATGATGCAACCAAAAAAAAGTACAGGAAATAAATTTGGAGAATAAAGTGTTTTGTACTTGCGTGTGTTTTACCCCTCACAAATTCAAAGATAGTACCTGGAGATAATACGTAAGTATCTGGTTATAGGAAATAAGCATTGTAGGATGTGTGTTATTTATGTGACAAAATGTTTTGTGAATGAAACCAATTCATATCCAAAGGACTCTTTCAAGTATAAAATTTGTGGGAATTGTTTAATGATGAGTATGCAATCTAGGACTAGAAGATAACAACCTTCTTATGGAGAGTCTTAGGAAAAGGTACTGTGTTCATAGAGAGGAAGATAAAGTATTTTTATAGAATTATGACCATTCTTTTCCAAATAAATGCTCTAAGTGAAATGCTGAGCTGTCAGTGAAAATTCCAACTATGACAATGCTGTTAAAAATAGTAAAGCAGAAGGAAAAGTAAGAAACATGTTCAGTAATCCATAATTCTCCATCATATTCAGAAACATAGTTTTAAAATCTTGTGTAACTTGTGAGAAAAAATTAAACATCTAGTTGTCATCCTTAGTATATCATTAGCTACAGGGGGACTGAGAGAAGATATTCTGATTGGGAGAGCAAATCCTCCTCTAACATTGCGTGTGTGTATTTGTGTGTTTGTGTGTACATGCAAGAGAGAGGCAGAGAGAGAGAGATCCAAATGATGATGTAATATAAGGTGAATTTCAAAGCAATGAGAAAACCTGAGTTACTCATTAAGGATTGTGAGGTAAATGTGGGTGTAGAAACTATCCTCTTGTCTTTCATAGATAGTAAGATCAGTGTCTCTAACAATTCACTTTTACTCTTCAAATAATATATAAATTACATATAAATCATGTTAACTTATTAAAACTAAAAATAATAAAGATAATGAACAGCCCATAATTTTCCTAGAGGTACCCACCATTAGTATATAGAACTCTGTGTATTTATTCCCAGCCTTTATTACATTCATATTTTTTAATGTGTGTGTTTAGGCATGTGTCAATGTGGGTATGCACATGCCAAGGTGCACACATGGAAGGCAGAGTATGACTTTCAGTGCTTGGTTCTTGCCTTCCACCTATGGACGCAGGGTTTCTTGTTTCTGCTGCCAAGATGTTTTTCCAGGTTAGCTGGCTGACAAGCTTCTCCACCATTCTTCTTTCTCGCCCAGGCTCCCATCTCTTCCTACGTACTGGACCACAGAAGTGTGCCAAATTTGGGCTTTTTGTTTTCCAAATATGAGTGCTGGAGACCAAACTCAGATCACCAGGCTCCAATGGCTAGTGTTTTCACTCACTAAGCCATCTCGCCGGCCCTTGTATACACAATGCACACTTCACAACCCACTTTTTGGAAGTACAATAATTCTTGTACTTTTTGATCAACATTACACTCATTTCCCATTTTTACCACAAATGTTTAAAAATGGTCATTTATCACAGCTACAGATTATTTTGATTTTTTTTTTTTTTGATACGGTCTCTCTAGTTCCAGCCTGGAACTCCCTATGTAGGCCAGGCTGGCCTCAATCTCAGAGAGATCCACTTGCCTCCTGAAGGCTGGGACAAAGGTCTGTACCACCATGCCTAGCCATTATGCTGACTCTTAATTGATTCGTAAACCCATGGGACATTTTCATTATTTCAATTTTTTTATCACTATGGATAACAATTTGAGAAATACCTTGGTCATAAGGCTCTATGGGTACTACAGTCTTTAAAACTATGTTTCTCGTTTCTCTATAGCCAAACAAGGATGTACATTGTCCTATAGGATTTTTTTTTTTCAAATATGAGTTTTAGGGACCAGATATGTCCTCATAGCTTTCATTTGGTCATATTCTCTAAGATGCTTGTGTGAGAGATAAATATAAAGATATTAACTTTTGTCTTCTTTTTCTCACCATATATTTTTGTTTTATTTAGTATTGAAAGTTTCCAAAAAAAATGAAAATGGGTTTGCAAAGTAAGTCCTTAAGAGGCAAGCAATTACAGTTATTTTTACATGGGCTAATCAGCAGCTTTTTAGATGAATAATGAAGTGGTGTCTGTAGTTATTGGAGCCACTTGGCTCATGCACACAATTGAATCTAGAGGCATGCACATACTTTTTTTTACTTTCCTACTTCTTCAAAGCATGTAACTAAGAGATGATTTTTATTTTTCTCACCATAAAGCTTAGTTTTGGAGGAATTCCAGTACCAAGCAAACCTGGGACCTTTTTAAAGAAAAACTTCCATGGCTGTATTGAAAACCTTTATTACAATGGAGTAAACATCATCGACCTGGCCAAAAGACGAAAGCATCAGATCTACACTGTGGTGAGTCCACGCATCATTATTATCTTGATGATTCCTCCTAATCTTATTTTGGTACTTTACCCCTACGCTTCTTAATGTTGTGTTTGTGTTAAACACTTAGAATTTTCCTCATCCAGAGCTGAGGATGTAGTTCAGTTTGTAGAACACTGGCCTAGTAAGCATGTGTTCAATCCCCAGAATCACATAAAATCCAATGCATCCGTTACTTTTGTCATTGAGAGCAAATACTTGAAGCAATTTAAGAAAGGAAGCATCTATTCTGGCTGACATAATGACAGGGAGGCCATGGCAGTAGGAATGGGAGGACACATCCATCAGCAGGCAAGAGGCAGAGGAAGTGTGGCTGAGGTATAAAACCTCAAAGCCCACAACCCAGGTTTTCCGTCAAAGATTCATCTCCTATTATACCTATAATCTTTCCAAACATCACCACCAGCTGGGGAGCAAGTGTTCAAAGAAATGAGCCTGTGGGGGACCATTCACATTCATCCAGGGCAACGGATATGGTGCTGAGCACTCTGGAGAAACAGCAGGACGATCGTAATTTCAGGTTCATACCCACTATGAATGTTTGAGGCTAGCCTTGGCTCTGTAAGGTCCTTCTCAAAAACAAAAAATAAAATTTAAGTGTTTTCACCTTCAACAGCTGACAGTAGAGAGGAGAACTTTCTCTATGGGAAACAAGCCAGTGGGAGTTGCTTCACTGGGTGTACTAGTTTGTTTTTCCATTGCTGTGACAAAATACTGACCAATACCAACTTGGGGAGGAAAGGGTTTATTTAGCTTACATATCCCAGGTCACAGTTCATCAGGGAGCCCAAGGTAGGAACTCAGGGCAGAAACCTGGATGCAGGAGCTAGAGTACAGGCCATGGAGGAATGCTGCTTACTGGCTTGCTCCCCGGCCCCTGCTCAGCATGCTTTCTTATGCAACACAGGCCTGCCTGCCCAGGGATAGCACCACTCACAGTGGGCTGGGCCCTCCCACATCACTCATCAAGAAGATGTCCCACAGACATGGCGACAGGCCAGTCCAATGGAGGCAAGTCCCCAAATGAGGCTCCCTCAACCCAAGTGTGTCAAGTTGACACTAAAGCTATCCAGCACAATTCCAATTCTTGTCCCCAAGATATATTATTATATATTAATATCACAACACAAGACAGTACAATCTTAAAAGCCCACAGTCCTTAAAAAATCCACAACAAGACTGTCTTATTTCAAAGGGAAGAATCGGGCACACCTAAGCAAAGCCAAAGTCCAGCAAAGTGGTTCAAAGCTAGACATCTGGGATTCACTCATGATCCTCTGGGCTCCAAAGGGTTTTGGCAGCTCCACTTCTCTGACTCTGCAATCCACAGTACACACAGCTCATCTCGCAGACCTAGGCCAGCTCCACTCCACACCTACTGCTGTCCTTGGTGGTCAGCAATCCTAGGGTCTTCACTGCAACTGAAGCTGCACTTTCACCTATTCTCTTTCCTGGCTTCTCAGAGTGCCAAGCCTCAGCTGCTGTCTGTGACCCTGTCATGATTTCAATACCAGAACCATGCAGGAGACTCTTACACATTACCAAGTCCTGCTTCCAGCTAGAGATAGAGGCTCAGGTCTTCTGTGTCCTGACCCTGAGGAAATACCTCCCAGAAGATTTCACCATAGTGATGCTGGTCTCTTGTTACTTACAGCCAAATTTTCAGCCCCAGCTAACTAGCATCAATTGTCCCAGTAAAGGAAAGGTTTTACTTCAGATTCTGGTCTCTTAACCACAGCTGATTCTTCAGCCTCAGCCTACCAGAACCCACATATTCTCAATTCAAGATATCACACAAACAGCCCTGATAGTCTCTGCTTTCCTTTGAAGCTTCACAAACCAGGCCTCCTTGTTCACAACTCTTTCAGCATAACTGTTCCAAGCTCCACAGCAACAAACTTTAAGCACTCAATGGCTTTCCTGCCCAAAGTTCTGAACACTTCACAATCCTCCTAAAAACACCAAGGTCATGTCTGGCCCAGCAACACCCCACTCCTGATATTAATTTCTGTCCTATTTTTTATTCTCCATTGCTGTGACAAAACACTCTGACCAATACCAACTTGGGGAGGAAAGGGTTTATTTAGCTTACATATCCCAGGTCATGGTTCATCAGGGAGCCCAAGGTAGGAACTCAGGGCAGGAGCCTGGATGCAGGAGCTGGAGCACAGGCCATGGAGGAATGCTGCTTACTGGCTTGCTCCCCTGGCCCTTGCTCAGCCTGCTTTCTTATGCAACACAGGCCCACCTGCCCAGGGGTGGCACCACCCACAGTGGGCTGGGCTCTCCCACATCACTCATCAAGAAGGTGCCCCTTAGACCTGCCCACATCACTGATCAAGAAGGTGCCCCTCAGACCTGGCCACAGGCCAGTCCAATGGAGGCAAGTCCCCAAATGAGGCTCCCTCAACCCAGGTGTGTCAAGTTGACACTAAAGCTATTCAGCACACTGGGAGAAACAAATACTTAGAAATGCTCAGAGAAGCATTCCTTGGCTGTGGGTAAGATTTGAAGTCTACACAGGATAAAAATGGATTTCTTTTAATTTCTGAGAAATACAATGAAAGTAGCACAGGTCTCCTTAAAGTCTGTAGTTTTGGAGTCATATATTGATCTACTGATACTAAATAGGGCATTTTAAGCCAATGATATTGCACTTTAAGTGTTTTATGAATTTCCTGTAGATCAAATTAAATGACTTTCCAATTAAGTAACATTTATCTTCCCTAGTAAATTGTAAGTTTCATTTGGGGTTCTTTTTAAGGTACTGCTTCATTCTCAATGCTTACTGCTGTGTCTTGAATATAATAGACTCAATAAGGATGTTTATGTTCCCAGATAGAATTATAGATTTGAATATTTCTTCCTCTTAGTGTTTTGAATGTTTTGTTTTGCTCCTGGGGAGTGTTTATGCTGCCCTTGGTTCACAGTGAATTGGACTGGACTGTAAGTCATATAAATGGCACTCTCATTTTCTGCTGAATATCTTTGTTCTGAAGTCTACTCTATCTGACAATAATACAGCCATCTGTGCTTTTCTCACTGTTTATAAGAGCTTGCCCATCGATTTACTTTTAAGTTGTCTGTGTCATGATATTTGAAGTTTCTCTCTGATCACATATTGTTGGGTCATGAATTTTAATTCACTCAAAAATTTTATTTGGTGTGCTTGGGCCATTTACATTTAATGTAATTACTAATGTGTGAGCGTTCAGATGCATATACGTATCTACTGCCTTTTGTTTGTTCATTTTTTGATTCTTCTCTTTACTGTTCATCATATTATATCCTTTGAATAAATTTTAGAATTCAATTTTGATACATTTAGCATGCGAGTTTATCTGTGTATAACTTTTGTTTGTGGTTTCTCATGTGTCATGTTATATGTACAAACTTCTCATGACTTAGGCTTTTTATCATTTTATCGAATTTAGTGAAATATAGATGTTACCAATTACTAAATCCACCCTCCCCGTATTTTTATATAATTATCTTAATTACTGTTTTTTGTGTATTTAGAACTATTGCAGCTGTTTTTATTTTTGCTCGATGTTTTAAAATTTATTTGGGAAACTTGAGGAGTTTGCTGCATTTAATCATATCTTTTACTTAATATTGTTCATTATTTCTTCTTGATTTTTAGATCTCTTGTTCTCAACTTTCTAGTTAACTTTATTAGACATTCTTTTAGGTACAGGTGAATATAGAAAATGTTCTTATATCATCTAATATTTTGATATCTCCTTTATTTGTGCAGAATATTTCATTTTGATATAAAGTGGTGACTCAGTGCTTCTTTTTTCAGCCCTTTAAAAATCGGGCACGTCCCTCTTGTCGTAGTGACAGATCCATAACCTTCTGTTGCCTCTTGCTGATAGGTGATATCAAAACTTGTTTTTGTGTTTAATTTTAGAGCCCTGAATGTGACTCAACACAGTATGAACCTGGAGCTGGGATGGCCAGCAGCAAGCCCCAGTGCTCCTCCTCTGCCCATCTCCCACATTACTGGGGTTACAGGTGTACAGCCATTTTGCATGCTTCTTATGTGGGTGCTGGGATCCAAGCTCAAGTTCTCATTCTTGCACAGCCATTGTGCTCACCCACTGAGCCCTCTTCCCAGCTCCCCTTCATTTTTCAGTTCTAAAATTTTTGATTTTGGTTTGATTTCCTTTATAATTTTATTTCTTTGTTCAGATTTTGTATTTGTTACTAAGACTTTCTATTTTCTTACTTATATCTTATAACTAAGTTATTTTTGAGACATTTATTATATAACCTTCTTTAGAAAGTGTCAGATAATTCTAATATTGTTGTTAACTCAAGGTAGACTTTATTGATCATCTCCTTTTCATTTAATTTGAGGTCTTTTTTGTTATATAAGAGGAAATACTTTTGGAGCATTATGTTATATGAATTTAAACCTTCCATTTAAAATGTGTTCAGGCTGGTTGTGGTGGCTCACACCTTTAATCCCAGGACTCAGGAGGCAGAGGCAGGCAGATCTCTGTGAGTTCAAGGTCAGCCTGGTCTATGTAGTGAGTTCCAGGCCAGCTGGGGCTACAGGGAGACCCTGTCTCAAAAAAGAGAATAAAACAAAACAAAACAAAACAAAAAACAAATAAATAAAATAAATAAAAAATAAACAAACAAACAAACAAATCAGTTCCAGGCCAGCTGGGGCTACAGGGAGACCCTGTCTCAAAAAAGACAATAAAACAAAACAAAACAAAAAACAAATAAATAAAATAAATAATTAAAAAATAAATAAACAAACAAACAAACAAATAAATAAATAAATAAAATGTATTCATTTGTCCCTGTCTAGGCTGGGTATGGGGAAGTTTTTATTACAATAATACTAGGTAGAGACAGAAATCTCGATTCCTTGCTAGGCTGCATCAGCGTTGTAGTGTAGAATGCTACTTGCTGCTACTTGGCATGCAAGAACCCCAACATCCTTCCAGGCTTCT